CCTCTCTTCCCCGTGAACGTGGTCAGGTAGTCCATGCTGCCGCGGCGCCGGCTGCGGGGCAGGAGGCAAGGAGGGCGACGGTTTCCGCGGCAGTGACCACTCGGAGCGTGGCCGCCCGCGCGCCGGGCCGCCAGACCCCGGGGCGGTAGCTCCGGGCGCCTCACACGGGGCGGGCAGGGGCGGGGGCGTCCCTCTCTCGGCCCGGGGGCAGACCATCAGGAAAGCACATTCGGGGGAGCACAAGACACACAAAAGTTTTTTGGAAAAGTTTTTGTTACTGTTTTCACACATCGAGACAGGCGAAATTAACCTGTAAAATACATGTACAGTCCATGTCCCTCCACTCCTCTGCCCCAGTGGAGCAGGCCTGCCCCGCCCCGCCCCGCCCCGCCCCGTCCGGGACTAGACCGGACTTTCTGGACTGTTGGGGAGAGAGGGCACTCAGTCTCTGGCCCCAGGGCAGAGTGGGATGGGAGATAAGAGTGGACCTGGAGAGTGTGACTAGACCGGACTTTCTGGACTGTTGGGGAGAGAGGGCACTCAGTCTCTGGCCCCAGGGCAGAGTGGGAGATAAGAGTGGACCAGGAGAGTGTGTGCTGGAGTTGCTTGAGACTCGGAGCGTAGGAGGGGTTTGTAAATAACTGCTAAAAAAGTTTGTGTTGGGGAGGGAGGGAAGGGGCACAACGCACATAAAACTTGCAGCCTGAAGTTTTTTGTTTCTGTTTTTGAGGTTTTTGTTTGTTTGTTTTTGAGAAGCAGAGAGAAACTTTTAGTTTAAGATTACAATCCTAATTGAAATCATTAATAGCCAGCTTTTAAGTTTGTTGTGGCATTACGAACTGAGTGACACTCTGAAGAACCCTGTCCTGTAAAATAGGTAATTAAGGGTTATACTGCGCAGGCCTGCCTTTTAGGGGACAGAGAACCTAGGCAGAAAAAGAGCAAACACTTTTGATATTTGCTACCCAATTTCGTTTCCTGGGAGATCTGGTATTCTCTTCCTTTTATGTCCGTTTATAGTTCTTCTAGTTTTCCCACAAATTGCCTAGATAAACCACTTTTCTTGGGGCCACCAATTTATGAATATATTTGAAGAAAAGGGGGACTTTAAAGAGCCAAACATTCCAAATAGAGTCCAGAAATAAGGAACTTAAGCTTTTCACCAAACTACTAAACTACTAAAGATTATTTCTCCTGTTCTCCACTGTCCTACTTTTTAAAAATAATTTGACTGCATTTCTTTTCATGAGAAAGACAAAAAGGGAAAGAAAGAAAAGCACTCTCAACAGATCTGGTGCTTTCATGGTTCCTCCAACCTTTGTGGCAAGCCGGTATCACCAGCTGACCCACAGGGTCAGAGTGCACAGGTCCACCAGAACCCAACCCTGATTTTCCAGATGGCTTCTAGCATTGCAGGGCCTGGGCACTACACCTGTACGGGGACACTGGGCCCAGCCACTGGTCTTTCATAGCCTCACCATTTTCAGTTTAAATTCTTACTACCTTGGGTAGATTTCACCATTCTGAAATCAACTTCACCTTTATCCGTGGTTAAAAACAAAGAATGTCTGGGAACCAGCAGTTAGCGTAATGGCTGTCGCCGGACTCCCACATAGTCGACCCGGGTTGGAGTCCTGGACCTGGTGGCTTAAACTCACACCTGGCGCGTGTGTGTGCGTGCCCAAGATCCCAAGAGGAGAATGGAGGAGAAGGGTTTGCGGTGTGGCCATCCCCCTGGGAGGGTGATTTCTCGCTTTCTGCCTCTTTGTCTCTGATGAGCGCACGTGCCCTATAACAAAAATCTCTCCAAGGGGTGGGGGGGGAACACAGAATGTCTGGATTATACCTCTAGAATGTTTAGTTTACAGCGTTTATGGGAAAAGGGGCATAGAAATATACACATCTAGCAATTTTCCATGTGTTCAGAGTGTTGCCAGGGAAAGAACTAGTGCAGACTTCCTTCTGTACCTCCTGAAGACTATTTGGTAGACGGTGTGGTAGACAGAATTTGCTCCCCTCTCCATCCCCAAATTCTTATGTTCAAATCCTTACCCCTTAAAGTGAGGGTATTGGTGGATGGGGCCTTTAGGAGATATTTAAGGCATGAGAGTGGAGCCCTCATTAATGTAATTAGAGCCCTTCTAGGGCTCTTTTGCCATGAGGGACCCTAGAGAGCTCTTGCTGCCATATGATGATACAACCAAAAGCCTGCAACCCAGAGGAGAGTCTTCACCAGCACCCCACCATACTAGCACTGTAATATTGAACTTCTAGCCTTTGAACTATGAGAAATAAGTTTCTGTTGTTTATAAACCACTCAGTTTATGGGACTTTATTATAATTTTTCAGAATTCTATCTGATAAGGAAAATTACCATAGTTAGCTACTATAATTTTAAATTCTGTAAGTTCAGTAAACCTTAAATACTGTATTTCAGTGACTTACGTCTAATCCTGATTAAATTGTATGTAATTCTCTAAGATGTGTTTCATATCTTCTTGAAATTTACTATTCAGTTTGTGATAAGCATATCCAAGTAGTGTATTAGTTTTTCATACCTGATTAAATCTATACTTTTATATCCAACCTTAGCAAGATCCTGTGTGCTATTATAGACTTAGATTATAGATTCAAATATAGATTTACAGGTGGTTAGCCCATCAAATTTTTTTCTCCTATTTCATGAAAGGCTAGAGCTGCTTGAGAAATACCAATATCCTTGATGATTGAGTGCTTCACAAATTCTAACTTATATTCGGTAAGCTCTAGACTTCAAAATCCCTTTCTTCATATAGTTCGGCTTTCTTTTTTATCCTCTACATTCGTTGTCTGTACTGTGATCATTCTGCAGTTACCAGATTTATCACTCAGTCATGTTACTACTTTGCTTTGATAGGACCATGAAAATCAGAGGCCATCAAATATGAACGCTAATTTTTCTTTCCTTTTTCTCTTCAATCTACATACAAGGATCTTTATTTCTAGTCCCTGTCTCTCCTCCAAATTGAAAGTTTATGTTGGCTGTGACTTATCAGCCTTATCATTCCTCTCTGTTGTAGTCTATCTCTCCACTATAGTTCCTTCCTTCTTATCCTACCTATATTGGCCACATAAATCCCTTTCTTGCTTAAAGAACAAGTTTCCTTACATACCACAACTGCTTCCTCAAGCTACCTTTTGCCTCATTTTTTTAAGTAGCTGTAATGACATGTAATTTACAAACCATAAAACTTACAAGTATACAACATTTGGGACCAGTAGTTGGAGTAATGGCTATGTCACTGGCCTCCCATGAAGCCGACTGCAGTTCGAGTCCCGGACCTGGTGGCTTAAACTTCGAGTGCTTGTGCGTGTATTCCCAAGATCCCAAGAAGAGACTGGAGGCGAAAGGGTTGTGCATGGCCATCCTCCCGGGGGGTGATATATATATATTACAACATTCACCTGTTAGTATATTTACACAGTTGTAAAAACATAACCAACATCTACTTTTAAAACATTATTAATACATCAAAAGGAAATCTCTCAATCTTTTGTAGTCAACCATCCATTCCCCCTTGTAGTTTCGGGCAATCACTAATATCATTAATTCTACTTTCTGCCTATAGATTTGCCTCTCTTTTTTATTTTTAAGTTTGCCAGAGGGTATCTTCACTTGTGAGAGAGGGGGAGAGAGAGGAAGCATGGATGGTCAGAGCCATCTTTTCTCCTCCGTTTCTCCCTCCTGTCAATATTCTGGACATGTGCATGTTATGTAGCATGTATTTCAAGACACTGGGTCCAGGACTTCAATCACATAGTCAGGTATGTGGGATCCAGATGCCTTAACCACCCCACCACCTGGATTTGCCTTTCATACACATTTCACAAACATGCCATCACAATATTCAGTCTTTTGAATCTGCTTTTCACTTATAATATTTCTAAGATTTATGCATGTTGTAACATGTATTAGAACTTTATTTCTTATTACTGTCAAATAATATTACATTGTATAGGTAAGTCACATTTTATTCAGCTCTCCAATATTTGATAGATATTTAGATTGTTCCTATTTTATGCTATTATCAATAATGATATGAACATCTATATATGTTGTTTTCGGTCCACTTTGGTATGTACATAGAACTGCTGAGTCCCAGTGTTTTCTTTTCTCTTCTTTTCCTTTTTTTTTGAGAGATTTTTGCTATAGTGCATGTGTGCTCACGGGAAAGACAGAGGGAGACAGAGAGACAGAAAGTGAGAAATCACCTCCCAGGGGGATGGCCACACTACAAACCCTTCTCTTCCATTCTCCTTTTGGGATTTTGGGCATGCACACATATGTACCCGGCATCTTAAGCTGCCAGGTCTGCCACTTGAACCATGGTTTACTGCATGAGAGTCCAGCAACACAACCATTCTGCCACCTGCTGGTTCCTATTTTTGTCACTTCTGCTTTTTGCATCAACTCTAAGAAATCAATGCCTAATTCAAACTCATGAAGACTTACTTTTCTGTTTTCTTCTTCAAATTGTATAGCTCTTGCTTTTTATTAGATGTGTGGTCTTAATTTTTGTGTGTGTGGTTGGTGTTTGGTGTGTGGTTGGTGTTTGGTGTGTGGTTGTGTGTTTGGTGTGTGGAAGGAGTCCAAATTCATCCTTTTGTGTCAATGGCTCCAGAATCTTTTATTAAAAATATTATTATTTCCTCATTGAATTGTCTTGGCATATTTTTTTTTTAAAAAGTTTATTTACTTCATGAGAGAGAGAGAGAGAGAAAGAGTACACAGCACCCCCAATGGCTGACACCAGGTTCCACCCCCAGCTTCAGTCAGCTGAGATCATAGACACAGGCATGCCCAGCATACTCGGGGGGGTCTCTGGACATGAACCATCTATTTTGCCATGTGGGCCTGCCTCACAGAATGTCGCCTTTTACTGCTGTGACACTACATAGCCCCTGGTCTTGTCATCTTTATAAAATCAAT